CCAATTCGCCTGCCAATCATAGCAGCTACTGGCAAAACACCATAAGAGGGAAGCTTATGTTTAGCAGTAAACAGTTAACGGCTGAAGAAGCAGTACCAGAGGGAGACTTTGTACAAAAGTCGATTGCTTGGGCACCTCTGTCCCATTCGTGTTTCTACCGTGAAGCAGTTGTGTTTGCATGGCTGTGTTTCGGTTTGAAGGGTGGGATATGGCGTGAATTTACTGGGTACAGAGGAATAACACCTGAGTCCTCAGGAATGGCAACGCATGGGATGGGATATCATGGGCGAAACAGTATACTCTGTTATGTCCATGGTACTGCTCATGTCTATAGGCGACGGTTACCACTTTCCATCAGATGGGCCGTCAGCTTGTTTGCCATTCTAAGTTTTATAAAAAAAAAAAAGCAGTTGTGTTTGCATGGCTGTGTTTCGGTTTGAAGGGTGGGATATGGCATGAATTTACTGGGTACAGAGAAATAACACCTGAGTTCTCAGGAATGGCAACGCATGGGGGGTATCATGGGCGAAACAGTATACTCTGTTATGTCCATGGTACTGGTCATGTTTATAGGCGACGGTTACCACTTTCCATCAGGTGGGCCGTCAGCTAGTTTGCCATTCTAAGTTTTATAAAAAAAAAAAAGCAGTTGTGTTTGCATGGCTGTGTTTCGGTTTGAAGGGTGGGATATGGCATGAATTTACTGGGTACAGAGAAATAACATCTGAGTTCTCAGGAATGGCAACGCATGGGGGGTATCATGGGCGAAACAGTATACTCTGTTATGTCCATGGTACTGGTCATGTTTATAGGCGACGGTTACCACTTTCCATCAGGTGGGCCGTCAGCTAGTTTGCCATTCTAAGTTGTATAAAAAAAACCTCACATGTGCTGATGGTATGGCCTGGCGAAATTCCAGTGAGTCTATCATCCATAGATGAGGATGAGAAGGTAGATCGGTTGGCCCAACGTGATAAATTTACTTGTAATTAAACCCGATGGTTTCCAGAGATGACTAATTTTCTTTACTAATAATCCCACAGGATGAATATTTCTATTCCATTTATATTTCTATCGCCAAATAGTTCTGCCATTAAAACTTGTTTTTCTTGAGTGGCTGTATTTCTGGTAAATGAGATATACTGTGAAATTATTGGATAAGAAAGTGTCTTGTCAGAATCTTCTAAGAAATGTCGGTGCATGAGAGGTATCGTGGGTGTCATTTATTCTGTGATGTCTGTCTACATTACTGTTTATATTAATGAACAAAATTTACTACTTTTCATAGAGAATTATTAAAAAAAAAATGTTGCCTTGATAAAAAAAATTAAAAAAAATTACTATTGAATAGTCTATAGTTTTCTTTCAACATCACAAATGTTGACGGTAAGAAATTCCTTTATGGGATAACTCCGCCATTGTTTATTAAATCTTCTTTATGTCTCCATTGTAAAGTATGTATAATAGTATTATATGTCTGACAATGCAATTACGAGTATCTCTATTTTATAGCCATGAATTGTTCACTGCTGAACATAGGCCTCCCTCTTTTGGGGTTTTGTCAGTAGTTGTTACGTTTGGCATGCAGATAACCGCAGTTATGACGCTGCTACCCATTTCTCGATCATGACCAATGTTAATCATTAACTACTCTGTATTTAACTGTTATATCTTACCAACTTTACTAACTAACTTTACCAACAACCCGTGACACAAGAAAGGAACGGGTGCCTATTCTACAAGATAATAAATAATTAATAGGCAAATTATGGCACAATTTATATCTACAAGGTATCTACAGGATATATATTTAAACTTCAATACACAATTATATAAATAAGTAGTAAATAAATAAGTGGTAATGGCGGAGTTAAATCTGTGTTCATTATCAGTCAACAATGAGACAAGCAGAAAATTAAGTAGTAAATTTACTACTAAAATAAGTATAAATATTGTTACCAATATATATACATACATACATATATAGGCAAAAAAATGACTAAAGCAAAAAGTATAAAAAGCAATACAAAAGAAGAGAGAAAATAAAGGAAGAGATATCGTTTAAATACTCGTAATATAAATACGGGCGAATTGAGAATTTACAACTTTACTGATACTTACAATCAGGCAATCTCGTAAAACAATAAGGAAGTATTAAAAACCTTTGATATCCCAAACGTAAAATACCTTTCATAATATTTTAAACTTATTTACTTTAATGGTTAGAGACTGAATTTTATTGAGCTATAAAACACTCGCTATTTTACGTTTCGAAGTAAAGAACTCTCAAATTATAAATGAGAACGTGAACTGTTAAGTGACTGTGTATACTGGTCTCTCTATAAAAGAGAATATTAGACTACTATTGCCTTCCTGGCCGAGTGGCTTAGTATAGATTTTATTTCGAAATTTCCTTCTCTTGTACTGGTGTCATTATATTTTATTCTTCTTGTCACATCTAGAGACGTCCTAGGGAACGATTGGTTACATGCATTCTTACTCCATTACTATACGTTTACAATATCATTATCGTCATATCAGCTTTTACTGTCCACTGCTGAACCTAAGCCTTCCTCTTTGGGGGGTTTTGCCAGTACTTGCAAAGCTTGGCATGTGGGTTGGCAGCCGCAGTTAGGATTTAGAGGTGTTTTAAGAGGGACTGCTGCCCATCCCTCGCCCTTCCTTAGTTGCTTCTTACGATACCCACGGGAAAGGAAAGGGTGACCTATTCTACGCCGGAACCAAACGGACATTGACAATGTAATCTTTATTAATATGATTATAAATGTGAAAGTGAGTTTGTTTAATTGTTACCTTATGACACTTTAAAAACTTAATCAAATCACACTATGAAATTTGGTATACACGTACTAAACAGAATGTCGAAGGATATAAGCTACTTTAATCCCAGATATATGGACGAAGTAAAAGATAGTAACTTATAAATAATAAATTGAACTAATCATGTGACAAAATTAATTGATTAAATATTTGAATTTAATTTAGAGCGGTACTTTTATGTGACAACAAAACTTTTTTTTTAAGTGACTTAGAATGGCAAATAAGCTGACGGCTCACCTGATGGAAAGTGGTAACCGTCACCTATAGACATGAGCAGTACCATGGATATAACAGAGTATACTGTTTCGCTCATGATACCCCCATGCGTTGCCATTCCTGAGGGCTCAGGTGTTATTCCTCTGTGCCCTATAAATTCACCGCCATATCCCACCCATCAAATCGAAATACAGCCATGCGAACACAAATGCTTCACGGTAGAAACACGAATGGGACAGAGGTGCTCAAGCAAACGACTTTTATACAAAGTATCCTTCTGATACTTGGTTAAGTTTTATTGAAACAGTTTATGGAACGTATCACTTTCATACAGATTTCTAGGCCTAGAAAGGCATTAACAAAAAAGAAAAATAAATAAAGTATTACATTTAATTATTTATCTATGACAGCATCGTAATAAATTGAAAAGACATCACAAAAAGTTGTTGCTAATAAAAAGGGTCAGTAGGTTTTAGGGTGTATTGATACGTTTGCTAAACAACACTATTTGAGTAGTAGAACCCACCCATCCGATCCCTAAGTCATCAAATAAAATGACAAGTTTGGGCTTCTACTGACCTGTTTTTATGTTCCGCCAGAATTTGTTCGTGACACTTTATTGTAGGACAAATTCTCAAATATTGCTCGAACAAGCATAAGTTAGAGGTTTCTTTATGTAAGTAATTACGTACGTCAATTTATTCTTATCTGTGAAAATAGCAAACAAGATGGCGACATAACACGTGATACAGTCAGCATCAAAAGTCGATGATCACAATTATATTTTTATAATTCATCGATTCTGAAATATCGTTTCGTAATATTTTACAATTTTTTTTCGATGTTCTTCCAATTTGTTTCCACACAATTCTGATGCAAATTTTTCTTGAGCGACTTAATTCAATAATGTTTCGTCTTTTTAGTTAGAGATTTATATATTTGGACATCCTGTCCTTGCTATTTAATACGAATGGCGGAATAATTGTTTTATTGAACACATTCTGTATTATTTGTGGGTAGAATGCAAGTTGGGGAGCAAGTAAGATAGATGATCTAAGGCTGCTACTGAATGTTGAGGTTGTTTTATAAAACTATATATTAAATATTCATTAACTTTTAATTCACCTGCTTATCAACTTTTAATGCTAACTGTACTCATTACTTGTATTAAATCAAAATTTGGCATTACTTTAAAGTAATGTACTAAATATAAAACTGAGCATTTTCCCAATGAAACGAATCGAAATAACTGATTTAATTTTGAAATTCCCATACTAACATGGCGTGTCCATCTGTCAAGTTGTTACTGTCAAGTATTGTTACTCGTTGTTTTTTTTTTTCTTTTTCGACCCCTGTTTCATGTCGTGTCGTAAAAGCAACTAAAGAAATTTAATGATCGACGTAATGGGCAATGTCACTAAAACTTGACTCCAATTGCCATCCCGCTTGACAAGCGTTGCAACTATTGTCAGCTTATCCTTTTACGGGGCAGACCTATTTCCTGCAGTGGGCAGTTAAAGGCTGATATAATAATTAACCTGTAAGCCTATTAAAATATTTTATAATTAATTAGTTGCAGCAGGTTTTTTTATGCAACTTAGAAGAGCAAACAAGTTGACGGTTACCATTTTCCATCAGGTGGGTCGTCAGCTTGTTTAACATTTTAATTTATATACAATAGTAACTATGATATAGTAAATTTAAATTATAAATGCATTCATATTAGAATTAGTTATTTTTGCAAATGAAACACAGCAATGCTGTTTATCGCAACATGGTGAAGACAAATTTCATAAAACTTTTACTACATACTTATCAACCCGACCCAACTCGTCCCGTTTACCATACTGCTATCTGTTTAATGGATCCGATAGAATAAAATAAAATAATTTAAATTCAAGCTATGCATTGTATTTCAAAAGTTTAATTTCATGTAATCAAATTTAATTTACTGGCATAAAATACTGGTTGCTCTTCACACATCTACTTGGATGTACCATATGCAATACTGAAAATAAATGGAATAAAAATGCAATGTACCTATCACCATTTATAGTTATTCCTGGAATATCGCAAGCGAGGACTGGAAGAATAAATAACAATAGACTAATTCAAGTGAATTCACCTTTAAACGCTAGAATCTAAGTATTCAAAAAGGATGGAAGGAATTGTTAGTAAGCAGTATTAATCAGTCCCCATTGCTAGTAATATTTTCTCCATACGATTCTCCCTACAAACTATCGTGATTGATTTCTAGTTACTTCATCAGGATGGGTTTGACTTCCTCATCGTTTTATCTTCCACAGAAAAAAATTATCTAAATGATACTTGGAGACGAGGGAGGGTTTCTTAACATTAGGGTCTGGTTGTCCCTTTGCTAATAATATACCCTTCCAATCATAAATCTTCTGGAAACGTTAATGCCAGAATTTGTATTGAAAATTTAACTCTACGAATAGATTCGAAAGCTTAGAATTTCATACAAACTTGCCAAAATGTGACCATAACTTGTAACCTTTGTGTAACTCACATTTGGCATTCAGCATAAATAAAATTAAAATAGAAAAAACTTACCCAAATTTTCCTTACAAATTGTACGCCTAGCGTGACATTGATTTACAAAGAACTGATATCCCCTCTTGTAGCGACTGATCATCATACACACAGGCTCCGTATCATCAATGGGCAGATCCCGACATACGTCGTCACACGCGTCTTGGTACCGAAGTGTTTGAGAGCCAAACACCATTTGACCTTTCACTTCTAAACCTTGAAGTTTTATAAACATTTATAAGAAATTTATTTCTTGGTTCCATTGAATTCCTTTCACAAATTTATACAATGGGATTGACATGTATGTCCGATAAAAACCCCTAAACAAACAAAGATAATATAATACAGAGAAAATACTTTGTGTTAGATAAAAGCGTTTGGACGTGAAACGGGTTTCCATTGTCATTTGTGAGTCTAGCAGTGTTTTTACAATGGACAGAGTAAAATTCATTACAATATAGTTGAAAGATATTCTAAATAAGGGCAGATAATATATATATAGCAATGTCTATATATTTTAGTTAAAATATCTATATACTGGTCCAATAACGAATATGTTAAATGTCTGTTAACCAAAACATAATATTGGATAACTTATTCGAAAATAGAAATCCGATCGATATGGGTGATATCGAAATGGGTGATGACTATTTTTGACAGTTTACATTGACAGTGATAGTAATTTTAATGTCAACATAAAAGTAAAAAAATTGAGGAAAAATCTAGAATGACGAAGACATGGCTTGCACAAACAAGGAAACGTTTCAACCGCGGACAAAATTTTACTTTTTGCTCCGTCTGAACATAAAAAAGAAAGAAATATTGTTTATTGAAATAAATTTAAATTTTTGAATTTTTAAGTGTTTTTTTTTTTTTTTTTAATGATTCTGCAATCCTTTCGGAGTGCAATTTCAGCTAAGAATAACTCACTATGAGCTTGCTCTTTTTATTCTTAATTTGTATAAAAACAAACTATGTAAATAATTTAAAAGATAATTCACGGTGTAAATATTAGCTTGATCATAATAGAACACATGTCATTTGTTTCAATAGAATTTAATGAAAATCTAAAAATGAATAATTGATCCGACCATATTCAACTAATATCTTATTTATTCCGAATAAAAAATCGAATGATTGGATCATTCGATTTATATTTTGATCTATTACTAATTTCATATAACTGTTTCTGTAATACAAAATAAAAAAATTGGTTACCTTTTATTTAGAGTATAAATTATATGCTACAGTGCACATATGTTGCGTAAATACATAATTTACGTAAAGGGAAATTGTTTACGGACTTAATGTCCATCTTATGATGGACATTAGTGTAGGTCTTTAAAATGAGGAACTTTATAAATACCTGTAATATCAACGAAGAACTGCGACCATGCAAAGAACAGAAAAAACTTAGTGTGGATAAGAAGCATCAGTTTATTGCTTCAAAAATTATATCTTCATATCTCTTTTGGAATTGGCAAAGATAAATTAGTGAAAAATTAAATAAATCAATCAATCATAAAAACGTCTTAATCTCTTTTCTTTTCTTTATTTATTGTTGATAAAATAAAAATATATTGTTTATTATGTATCAAATTTATTTTCTGTGAAATAATTTTTATCTAATAAAATAATAAATTCACCATTTCAATTCGTAAAATATTGTAGAAATGTAGTGTAAATTCTATATGTTTCATACGGCTGCGGCGTTCAGTATTAAAATAGAGTTGCGTAATATAGTAAACGCACTTTTATACTCGTAACTCACCTATTGCTTGTTACGTACTCGAAATATAAAATCATATAATGTCGTAGATAGAAAACTAAATATTTTCTTTTTATTTTATTTCAAATAGCTGCTATTTGTTATTATTTTTTTAATTTGTTTTTGTTACTGTCATAATTATTAAAATAATTTGGTTATTAATTTTTATGGACTAACCTAATTGATTCTAGTGACGAGGGTTGCTTACCGCCTGTCATGGTTAATGTCTAGTAGGTTAAATGTTTCGTGCATCACAACAGTAAAAAATAACATATACCTTTGACTATCCCATCATTATTAGTATCTATAGTCGTGAGCATATATCTTATCTTGTTTTCTATCCTGTTAATATCACAATTGCGACAGTTTGTAAGGATGGATGAATAGATATTTGTTACACTTTCACGCAAAAACTACTGAAAGAATTTGAATAAAATTTGGTAAATTAATAATTTATATCCTAACTTAGCACATATGATACTTTATGTGCTAATTCACATAGATAAAGTCACAACTTTACTTGTAACTTTAGCTGTATCCCGCGGGATACAGTTAGTACTCGATAAATTAAATTTATATTGTAATAAATATAGTTTATTTTATTTTATATATTTTTTTTATTTTACACTTTACATTTTACACTTTTCATTAAATTAATAAATTAAAAAATAACAGTAAATATAAATAGAAATAAGAAACAGATAGCCAATAATAGGACTCCACGCACTTATGTACGGAACATAAAACAAACGCATGAGATGGACAACAGTAGAGGTAAGTGAATATATATATAAAGAATGGCAAATAAGCATTATCATCATCATCATCATATCAGCCTTTAAATGTCCACTGCTAAACATAAGGCTCCACTTTGGGGGATTTTGCTAGTTACCACGCTTGTTGGTAATCGCTGGTAGGCTTTGGAGACGTTTTAAGAGGAACGCTGCTGCCCATCCCTCGCTCTTCCGTAGTCGCCTCTTACGACACCCAGGGGAAAGGAAGGGGTGGCCTATACCGGGACTACACGACAAAAAAATATATAATACTTATAATAATAAGTTTTATTAGAACAGATTATATATTATAAATACATATGTACTCGTATATATGTAATACGAATTATTAATTAAACTATCATCGCTTATTCTAATTTTTATGAACCATTTCTTCACCATTGAATTGTAGCAATACAAGTTCATACGTAACAATCGTGCTTGCGACCTGAAATAAAATTAAAAGGAACCATTATTTTCGATTCTCGGAAAAAAAGCTGTTGATTATGTTATTGTATTTCTTACGTCGACGCGTTGCGATATTAAAATCTCATTTAGAATTGAAACGACGTAAAGAAATGTTTAATTTTCAATCTAATCATATTTTGTTTCGTGTTTCGACCATGAAGCAGTTGTGTTTGCATGGCTGTGTTTCCGTTTGAAGGGTGGGATATGGCGTAAATTTACTGGGTACAGAGGAATAACACGTGAGCCCTCAGGAATGGCAACGCATGGGGGGTATCATGGGCAAAACCGCATACTCTGTTATGTCCATGGTACTATTCATGTCTATAGGCGACGGTTACCACTTTCCATCAGATGGGCCGTCAGCTTGTTTGCCATTCTAAGTTGTATAAAAAAAAATATAATTTTCAATCGACTACCAAATGAAGGAGCATCTCAATTCGGTTGTTTTTTTTTATATGTTTGTTATCTCATAACTGCCTTATAAGTGATGTGGAAAATTCTTTTTTTATCTAAAATGATATACTTACAGTTTAGTCCCATAGATTTCATAAACATCAGTTCTGTAGTTTAGTTTTTAAATCAAAGTAACTCATACATACTGTTTATTGTATCCTCCAAAAGATTACAATAGTAAACTTATTATAGATAAAAGAAATTACAAGAAATAATCACAGTGAGAAAACAATGGGCGAGCTTATCGCTAAAAGCGATCTCTTCCAGGCAACCTTTGGATGGAGAGGAGTAATTATAAACAGTTTGAACGATTTATATATATATTAGGGACTTGACACTGGATGGTGTAATTATGTATGGTCAAATTTAGTTCATAATACAGGTCTTATACATTGTTGTTTAAAACATAATAGTACGGTAAGCAGTCAGTATTAACATCTGCCATTATGAATTCATTCAGAAATAACCATAATAATTTCTATAATGACGAAATAAATTATGGAATGAGCTCCCTGCCGAGGTTTTCCTTGGGGGTAAAGAGGTTTCTTTAGGGTCGGCAACGCGCGCGTAATACCTCTGGTATTGCAGGCGTTCATAGGGTACGGTAATTGCTTACCATCAGGTGGGCCGTATGCTTGTTTGCCAATTCAGTGATATAAAAAAAATTGTTTTAAACAATCATTTAACATAATAAAGGCCATGTGACAGAACTTTTTGGCTTTAATTACCCCAAAATTGTAGGCATGCAAATTTAATGTATTAATAAAATGAGGACAGCACTATATATTATACCCTTTATTGCTAGCAATGGGTCCGCTAAACGAAATTATTAACAAACCCTACCCAATCACCATCATCTTCAAGCTAGAATACACATGCTAAGAATACACTGTGTCACAAGTAACTACATAACGAACATCTGGGGACGTAACCCAAATTACCCAGAGTCGAGTCAATATATAAAATTTTGTCTCCTAAATTGACCCTACCGAGAACGGACCCGAGACCTCTTTACGCAAAGCAATTTACCTACCACTGCATCATGGAGATCTTCACTATACTACTTATAGCATGTTACCATCTAGATATATATTCACAGCCATGCGTCTTGAGAATTGACTAGGATGCATAATTTTTATGTAGGATAACAGTCCCCATCTAACACGTACGTGCTAAAATTATATTTGAGAATCCCCATTTCAAATACCCTTTCTAATAGGCCTTACAGAGGGTTACCGCCCGTTAGAATATTCCGAACTCTCCGAATTTTATCCTAACATTATAATTTATCTTATTTCAATTATTTGTTTTTACTTAAAAAAATATCCTATAATTTTATTTTATATCCGATCTCTTTTCAAGGATTTTTTTCGAATTCAATTTTCTTATCAGGATCTTTTGAATTTCGAAACAGATGTCACACTAGCCCACATAACCTTCATTCAAATTCATAGTTCGTCCGACAAAAGTGTGTCGATCTTGGATTCAGATTGTACCCGTTATGCGAGGACCAATTGAGACCTAAGGACTTACACGAGTAGCGAACTATTATATAACTGAAATCATATTTGTACGACGTTTTGTCTTGCAAAATGTTACACAAACGTTACACTGCTATTGTCTTCCTCACCAGTCGGCTTACTATAGATTTTATTTCGAGATTTCCTTCTCTTGTATTATTACATTTTATTCCTATTATTACTTCTCAAAACAGAAAGGAAAGAAAGTAAAGAAATAAAAGGGTTAACGAAAGATTGATAATATGCATTCAATCTCTATACAATACTGACCATGAAGTTAAGAAACAGCGCATCAAATATACAAAGTTCAACAAAAGTATTTTAAATTATTTACTTACCTTGCTGTCAAGTTTTTTTTTATACAACTTAGAATGGCAAACAAGCTGACGGCCCACCTAATGGAAAGTAGTAACCGTTGGCTATAGACATGAGCAGTACCATGGACATAACAGAGTATACTGTTTCGCCCATGATACTCCCCATGCGTTGCCATTCTTAAGGACTCAGGTGTTATTCTTCCCTATAAATTCACGCCAGAAATCAGTATCCACCTTAAAATATTACCAAAGTCTAACTGCGATTGCCAATCCGCCTGCCAATAACGGCAACTACTAGCAGAACCCTCCTTTATAGGGAGGGCCTATGCAGTGGACAGTATACTGTTGATATGATGATGAAAATAATCACTTCTAAGATAGAGACATTCTATTTAAAAAATATACTGAATAGTTTTAGACTACATGTGACATCAAAAATTACATACAATACTCTTACTTCTATACATACTACCAGAGGGAGACTTTCTACAAAAGTCGATTGCTTGGGTACCTCTCTCCCATTCGTGTTTTAACCGTGAAGCAGTTGTGTTTGCATGGCTGTGTTTCGGTTTGAAGGGCGTGATATGGCGTGAATTTACAGGGTACAGAGGAATAACATCTGAGTCCTCAGGAATGGCAACGCATGGGGGGTATCATGGGCGAAACAGTATACTCTGTTATGTCCATGGTACTGCTCATGTCTATAGGCGACGGTTACCACTTTCCATCAGGTGGGCCGTCAGCTTGTTTGCCATTCTAAATTGTTTAAAAAACATACATATGAATTTTTGCAATTCATTAAAAAGTAAAAAAGATTGTGAATATCAATAATAATGACTATCATGTTAGGCTATTATCTGTCCATTGCTGAATATAGACTTCATAAACTGTATCCACTAACTCCATCCTAAAAATAAAGTAATGTTTGTTTTGTTTACGCAAAATAATGGCGAAATTGGGAAGAGATTGGAAACATTTTCTAAAGCTCTTTGTATTGGCACCTTTTTACCTAATTTCGATAGCTGAAGAGCGACTGTTTTTGTCCACTTTTTACACATAAAGGTGTTAACGCACTTTACAATTTGTTAAATTAATTCATGAGTATTATTTAAATAAAAATTGGTGTCAAAATCTAGGTTGTTATTTATTTATGCTGATACTAGAATGCGAAAACGATCTAATTTAAAGATTACATTTCTGATATATATATATATATATATATATATATATTCAAGAATATATTTATTCTTTTTTTCCTGTAGATGTCGTAAGAGTTGTTATTGTTAGTAATAGCGTCGCCAATTCCTATTACTAATAATCCCTTTTCCCCTACTTTATAATATTAGTATATATTGTGTGAACATAATATGTCAGGTCCTTTACAACGATGCAGCGATTAGCCTCGCTAAAGTCCGATATCGATGATACTGTATTCTTATTACTTGATTAAATGGATTTTGTTCACGTGAATTTCGTAATCACTGCTTGCAGATTCAAGATAAAAGTGTAGTATTGAAACAGATTTTAAACTGGAACAGTTTCTTTGAAAAGTATCAAACAATAATAGTATGTTTACATCGTTATCTTTACAATAATTATAAACTAGTTCGTCTCAGCTAAATTAGTACTTAAAATTATTTATTCATTTGTGCCTTTTTTTTTATACAACTTAGAATGGCAAACAAGCTGACGGCTCATCTGATGGAAAGCGGTAACCGTCGCCTATAGACATAAGCAGTGCTATGGACATAACAGAGTATTCTGTTTCGCCCATATGCCATTCCTGAGGACTCAGGTGTTATTCCTCTGTACCCTGTAAATTCACGCCATTTCCTACCCTTTAAACTGAAACACAACCATGCAAACACAATTGCTTCACGGTAGAAACACGAATGGGACAGAGGTATCCAAGCAATCGACTTTTGTACAAAGTCTCCCTCTGGTAAATCATCATCATCACCATCAGACGTTGTCTGTCCACTGCTGAACATAGGCCTCTTTTTATGCACGTTTTGCTAGTAGTTGCCTTACTTGGTAGGTTAGTTGGCAACCGCAGTTAACCTTTGGTCTTGTTTTAATAGGGATATTACTGCCCATCTCTCGACTCTTAACTTCCCTTAGTCGCCTATTACGACACCCACGGGAATAGAAGGCGTGGACTATTTTATGCTAGAACCACACGGCAGACATAATAAATCTATAATATATAAAATAATATACTTATATACATAAATATGTACTATAAATATAGTACTTATCATTACCTACAAAAAATTTGCGAGGCTTTATATCTGGAACCACATAGCCTAGTATTTATCTAAATATATGTATATAGATACGACTATATGGTTAGATAACTATTATAGTTAAGTCACAATAAGCGCTTTTAGATTTAGATTAGTTCATCAAAACAGAAGGAAGGTAGAATCGAAAGATGATGACATTAGTGTCATGTTTCTATATCTTATCAAGGTTGTTTCATACGATACACGCGGTAAAATCCACGGGATACAACTAGTGTGAGATAAAATAATTATTAAGGAATAGACGACAAGATACACTCACTGTAAGAACTAAGCTTTTTGTGACGTAGAAAAATTGCAGACCACTTAAAGCCAAAGTATCTCCGTGCACTTGTTCGATGAACCTTTGGACCTGAAAAATATGGTAAAGTAGTAATTATTCTCGACTTCGCCCGCGTAACCTTTTTCACGCAAAACATGCAAAACTACTTGACTTTTTTTTTAATGGGTGATAATGGAATGGTAACCCCACCCGCGCTATTGGTATACACCGGCGGGGCACCAGTGAGGGATGATAGATGAGGATGAAGCAGGTCAGTTAGCCTATCGTGACGAATTCAACAAGAATTGTTCACGTGGTTTCCAGGGGGAACCACGTGGAGGTCGACCTGATAGGGCATATTGCTAGCAGTGTCGAACTCCATTGCTAACAATTCCTTTTCCTCCACATAGATATGTTATACCCTAGAAATATTATAGAATACTGTACGCATAGGTTTCAAAAATTGAAACAGTGAATTCAGAACATTATTTTTAACTAAAAACCAGTAGAAATTATTTCCGGTAAATTTCAAATATTTGTCATGTTTTTTTCATTTAAAATCATATAATGCACCATAATCAATTTAGTGTCCACAGACTCACTGTCGCATTTATAATATTAGTTATGATATTACCTCACTGCAATACATAGTAGATGGTATATCATATAAAGCTGATGCAGGTTCGTTCGAGGCTGTGTGGATACCAGAAGTAATTAGTGACACAGCCAAAAACCGACCGAGCACGAAAGACAAAGAATATGTAAAATATATAACATTTTCGTATCCTCCAAATGGACTGAAACAATAATGAAATTATTGCTTATTGACTATTGATGTATCGCTACATACACAACGCCATCTAGTTTATAACCGAGTAGAGTATTTTATATACCTATTAACCATAATAACTATAGCCCTGCTTAGACTTTATTCATAAATTATATATATATATATACATTTCCGGAAGAGAGAACATGAGGCCCTGAACCACTTACAAGCAAAGAAGAACAAGACCACGCCTCATCCAGGAGAGGCTTAGACCCAGTGGCCTGGGGATAGTCGCCTCGGAGTTGAAACCGGGGCAAAGGGATCCGCCCCGAACTCCTACCTCACCCTTAATCAATCTAGGTTTTCTAAACCCTTGGAGGAGGGTTTACCTATTTATTACTGAGTAGCATATTCATTAATTACCGAGATTACTCGCTGACTAATACAAACAGACAGTATACTTATAAATATAGCATTTAATTGTTTTTAAGTAACATTTATTATTATTTTTGACCATAATATTATATATTATATATATTTATTTTTGACCATAATAAATATCATTAATAATTCTCAAATAAAATTAATGAACAAAATAAACTCCCGCTATTTTTTTCGTTTGTATTTCGTACTGCAATTTTTCACTTACTTTCACATATTAATTTATTATTAAATGTTTGAAAGCATATACAAGCTAATATTTATTACCAGTATTGTTTATTTATTTTTTAATGAATAACATTACACAAAATATTTGGTACAAAAGGCGGACTTAATGCTATATAGCAGTCTCTCACAATCAACCTTTGACAATAGATAATATCTTAGATAATGACCTAGATTATTATGATTATAAAGTTTCTATAGTAAGTTAATTCAATATGTTATTCTTTAACTAGTACAAGACCATCATTGGAGTAAACAAAAAGAATAATCAAAATCGGTTTACAATTGTCAATATCAGGAAGCATATATGTATATAAAAATACTGTCTAAATTCAGAACCTTCTCTTAACAAAATCTGTGTAAAAAAAACATATATTGTTGTATTTTGTATTGTTTTAAAATATATTTAATAAATATAAATATTAAAATGTATTGTTAAAAATGTTTGTGTAAAAATGCTATTTTGATTGCACTCACCCGCTTGGCAAATTAGGACACGGTGCTGCGGATGGTTTTTCCTTATATCTGTGCCTGAAAATATGAGATTCAAAAATTATAATTAATAATTTATTAATTATTTAGACAGCTCGAGTGAGACGTTGCTTTGGATAAAAAAATATCGAAATCAAAATTATGATTAATAACTTTACATAAAGATAAGATTTTGCCGTGTGGTCCCGTCATAAAATAGGCTACCACTTCCTTTCCCGTGCGTGTCGTAAGAGGCAACTAAGGGAACTTAATAGTCGAAAGATAAATAGTACCGCCCCTCTGAACATTACCAAAATCTAATTGCACTTTCGGACCAGGCGGATTGGAAAGCGCATGAGCATGACAATTGCTAGCAAAACCCCTCTTCGTGGGGGAGGCCTATGCAATGGACAGTTAATGGCTGATATGATGATGATGATAAAGATTTACTACGCATAAAATTTAATTTATTAGATTTTTTTTTTATACAACTTAGAATGGCAAACAAGCTGCCGGTCCACCTGATGGAAAGTGGTCGTCGCTTATAGACACGAGCAGTACCATGGACATAGCAGAGTATACTGTTTCGCCCATGCTACCCCCCATGCGTTGCCATTCTTGAGGACTCAGGTGTTATTCCTCTGTACCCTGTAAATTCACGCCATATCCCACCCTTCAAACTGAAACACAGCCATGCAAACACAATTGCTTCACGGTTGAAACACGAATGGGATAGAAGTATCAAAGCAATCGATTTTTGTACAAAGTCTCCCTCTGGTAAAAGACTAGGTATTTTAATTATATATTACTAGCTTTTCCCGGTGGTTTTTTTTTAAAAAAAACATACGACCGAATTTAAAATCTTCTTTTTGAGATCGGTTGAAAATGACATTATATACTCACGAAAGTACATTGAACATCTGCAGGCATATAAAGAATAAATTGTTTGCATATGAAGTAAATATAACTCCATTGATTGCATTATCGAAGTTGCGAACCAACCGGCCAGCTTGCGTGTAGTCCTCGCGTAGTTGCTTCCAGAATGCGGGCGGCATACACTGGAATCAACGTTTGTTCATCTTCTTTATTTTTTAAATTTTTGTCGTAGGTACATTAAGAAACCAATTTTGATATAATCTTTTTTTTAATCTTTATTAATTTTTTTTTTTTTTTAATTTTTACTCATATAAGTAAGTAAGGTAAGTAACCTCGGCTACGTTATCAGTATAAGCTGGCAAGGCACCAATGAGAGAAGATAGGTGAGGATGATAGCAGATCCGTTGACCCGCCGCGATGAATTAACCACAAACGTTTCCTGGTGGAAGTTTTGTTAGACCCCATTACTAATAAACTCTTTCTCCCCTGAGTCCGCTATTTATCTGATCAATAAAAAAATCGGCCCACCTGATAGAAAGTGGTAATCGTCATCTATAGACATTGTTAGTACTGAGAACATCGTAAAATGCACTGTGGCGCATATGTTATCCTGAAATTTTACTGCTTTAAATATAATTTACACACTTTTGTGATAGGGATATAATGTTAGTGTATTAAACTAAATTTTAAAAAAAAACTTTTCCATCTTTTTATTGCATACCTTGTCTCGTGAAGAAGTAACCTTTGTATTGATTTTTTCCAAAATCGATGTTAAATAGAAACCGATGCAGACAATGAAGAAATCTGAATAACTCCAACTTATGATACATATCAGGTTGATGATCTGAAGCGAAAAATAGCATGGTTACGAGAAGTTTTTGTATTTAAGAAGAAAGTAACATCTTCTCTATAAATTAATCGCTATTTCCGTTATAGGAAAAAAAATCTTAAATTAATGAGTTAATTTTACAATTGGTGAATTAATTTTACAATTGATGAATTAGTTTTACAATTAATTATTTTTTATAGTTACTTAATCAATTGTACAAGTGATTAATTAATTTTACGAATAATTTACACTCAAAATAAAAAAAGGAAATATTAATAAAAAAAAATCATATAATTTACCTGCATAACAATGCCAAGCGGTAAACTAAAAGGTATTCCAATTTCAAAGAGCCAAGAAAATGAATGTTCAAGGTAGGCTCTATAAAAATTATACGGCTCGTCCTGACAATGAAGACCTCTTATCATATTCGATATTAAGGATAGAATGTGTTCCACTAAAAGATCAATTACAATAATAATAATGTTTAATAAAATATAAAAATCATGTTAAAATATATTTTTTTATGATATTTAGAATAGAAAGGTGATGGAAAATAAATAAATATAACATCGCTGAATAATCTGTGATGCCCATAGTAATCGTAACGTGGACATAATAGAAGACTAGTGTTACCTCGTTACCCTGTGAATTCACATATTAATTATATGATATATTTTTTTAATTATTATTAATTATATATTATTTATTATTAATTACATAATAATTATTAATTATGTTCTTCTTCTTCTTCAGTCATCCCGGGGCCAGTATTCCTACTAGTTGAGCTATTAAAACGAAATCAACAGTCATCATATTTGACGTCAATCAACACTAATCTAAATTAAACTAAATAATAATTTTCCATTTTTAGTTGCAAAAAAGAAACATATATTTTAATCGTCAAAACAAATACTAAATAAGTATATTATGTACAGAAAGTTACACTACTTTTCAGACTATAACTTACTACCTTTAATAATGAGCGGTTAGAAATAAATAAAAAATACTTATTCAATTTATTATTACAATATATTATATAAATATACTTATTTTTACAATTAAAAATATAACGTTAAGTACGAATTTAGAGAAAAGAAATATTTCCAGAAGGGAGAGTAATTGATGTTTTAAACTAAATACTAACAAATTCTCTGTTTTCCTTAAAATACATAGCGGAAAGTATATCTAGAGAAGCTAACAAAAAAAGGCGCTCATTAATTTAGAAGCCTTAATTTTAATTGTTTTTCAAATTGTTTTTATTTACACGTCGAGATTTGAAAACACACTTAGGAAAAGATTTATTTTCTCATTGGGTTTGCTCTACAAGATTTTAGCAATTTTTTTCGCCGTTTTTCAAATTGATTCTACAGACTTTGGAAATATGTGTAGTATTTCTCTCTCTTTATATATTTCTCTCTCTCTCTTTATATATATATATATATATATATATATATATATATATATATATATTATTAAACCGCTATCCTATATATCCACCAGTGGATGATTAAGAGCCTTACTTAAGAGCAATACTTTAGCTTATCGAAGTGTTACAACTCGGCAATAATCAGTAATTTAAATTGCTTCAGAAAATTGACAATTACTAACGACAATGACTTTGATCGATTATTCAAAAAGTGCTCTGCTAGATATGAACTGAAACGTTAATCATAAAATGCGTTGCAAATAAATCTAACACTAAAACTTTGTACCTACTTAATATTTTGCTTTGCCATTTTTAAAAAACTTTTTTTTCTATCAAAATCCAAATTCTCGGTGACAACTTAATATGAATATTATTGCATGATAAATGTTCGCTAGCAGATAACTTTTTAAATAATAGATGAGAATTTTGTTGAAAAATGAATGTTGAAAATTGTTTTTGAAAATTAACAGCAAATTTATTATTTATTTAATAATTAATTACTACGATAAGCTGAAGCATGAACTTTATTCAGTTATAAGTATTAAATATTTGTATATCTCTAATTATTATATAAAAAAAAGAAACGTAAGATACTTTCTTATTATACATACAGTGGTAACAGTCGCTTATAGACATAAGCAGTACCATGGACATAACAGAATATACTGTTTCGCCCATGATTCCTCATGCGTTGTCACTCCTGAAGACTCAGGTGTTATTCCCCTATACCCTGTAAATTCACTGCCATATACCACTGCCATAAACTGAAACACAGCCATGCAAACATAACTGTTTTACGGTAAAAACACGAATAGGATAGAGGTGCCCAAACAAATAACTTCTGAAGTCTCCCTCTGGTAAGTAAAATGCATCTAATATACAATGACTATTATTTGTATGAAAATTAAATCGTGTTCCACAAAACAAACAAACCGCATTCAATTGTTGCAAAACCAGTTATTTTAATTTAAAAACTAAACTATTTTCGATAAAATTTCGATGTAACTAATCTATAATATATTTTCAGATAAAAAAAGAATTTTATATATTAGCTTATAACTTAGTTATGACGTAACAAATATAATATATAAATGTAAATTTTAATTAAAATTAAAATTACACATTATACAAAGGGAGTAAATTTTTTCACAATTTCCATTACTACTTATAGTTGTAATTAGATAAATTAACTTTATATAAAATCAATATTCTATATAGAGCACTAAAAATATTGCTGAGCTAATATTATAGTATTTAATGAGGATTGAGCGCTGTTGTCTGAGATACAGGTTTTATAACCTACTTCAGAAACAGATGTTTAAACAAATGTTTAAACTGATCCAAATGTACAGATGAAGTCATACTTACTTTTACTGTAATTTCCAGTGCTGAGTATGTTTTAATTATTGTTGTTCAATAAAGTTATTATTATTATTAAAAATACATCCGAATCGGGAATCTCCTTCGTTTTGAAATTGACTAATAAATACGTACCTATTGCCAATATTAACATAATACCCATTGCAGCTGTACACTTCACTTTGAGATTCAGATCAATATACTCATCGAGGTTTGTTTTGTACATGCTTAGTAATAGCGCTGGCCATTTTTTACCAATACGAATGAATGAAAACGTATTTATCCCAATAGCAGAGTAAAAGGAAAGAAGGGCTGTGGACAGATAATAACTATATCAAACAAAGCAATAACACTGTCTTTTCTACTACACTGTAATTATCAAAAATTCTTCAACAAGTCCTGTAATATAAGTGTTAAATAAATAAATAAATATATATCAGAGACTAGCTTTTTGTGTGTTACTTCGTATGCATGGATTTCAGAAGTAGGAAAATCAATATAAAAGATTAATAGCAGTATTAAGTTAGACCTACAAAAATACAACTGTGAAAACCACATCTGATTTGATGTGATAATTTTTGCGTGATATCGAAACAAACATACAGACAAAATTTCTAAAAATTATTGTTTCAACTTTTATTGCTCTTATTAAGACTGCTCATATCAATTTTTCTTAAATATCTCTTATGTACAGATATTATCTAGTTAAAATTTTATACTGTTATCTATTATTAAGAAAAGACGTATTGTTTCTTCTACTGAAATAAGAAAGAACCAAGCCCTTATAAATTTTCGAACAAGTATGTTAATAAATGCAAAATATAGAGATACTTTATAAATGCGCCGAAAATGAAACCTGGAAATGGTGCAAAATTATCACCTCTATAATATTTGCATGACTGGTAAATCATCCTATTTTTGTTATTGCTTCAGAGGGAGACTGTACAGAAGTCGATTGCTTGGGTACCTCTGTCCCATTCGTGTTTCTACCGTAAAGCAGTTGTGTTTGCATGGCTGTTTCGGTTTAAAGGGTGCGATATGGCGTGAATTTACAGGGTACAGAGGAATAACATCTGAGTCCTCAGGAATGGCAACAACATCATGTCTATAGGCGATGGTTACCACTTTCCATCAGGTGGGCCGTCAGCTTGTTTGCCATTATAAGTTATAAAAAAAATATATTGATAATATGATGATATTCGCTGTTTTCAAAATATTTTTCAATTGTTTTTTAATCGTATAAAATAATTTATAAATCACTCTTCTTAGCAGATAAAAACATTCCGAACAGAACAGTGGAATTATAAAAAAGTAAGTATTTGAAACAGCTTGCGAACAAGTATGTTTGAATAAATATGATCTTTATTCTATTTATTGTTTTTGGTTCACTTGAGTAAATTAATATCACATAAAAATCAAAAATAAAATCAAAAGTAAATTTAAGAAACTTCAATCTGAAAATAACTTACCCAATAATCTTACAGAGACAAATGTTCTATATAATTTGAATAAACAAAGAATTGAGGCTGTAATTTGAAAAAAACACAGTAATGCACCATATAAAAACCTCCATGAAAAATATTTGAACCTGTTGGAAAAAAAAATACTGGCTGTAACGAATTTAGTTTAAAACAAATAAATAGTAGATAACTTACACATAGTACACACCAAAGATTTCCCTTGTTATCAGGTACATACATCCATATCTCTTAAGCTTGTATACTATCGGGGTAGTCAGAATCAATGAAATAGCAAATACATCAGTCTTTTCATTCACACTCGCCGGTTATGGGTACTTTTACTTTGGCCCTTTTACAGCAAGTTACCTATTTGATCAAAAATATAGGTTTTCACCAGAGGGCTTTGTACAAAAGTAGGGTGTCCCATTCGTGTTTCAACGTGAAGCGACATCTTCATCTATTTACTCAGAGGAATAACACCTGAGTCCTCAGGAATGACAATGCCTGGGGGGTATCTGGGCGAAACTACTCTGTTCTGTTATATTCAATTCTTCTTTCACTTTACATCCTCTCCAAATAGCCAAACCAATGTAACATTCCCTTTTTAGTTAGGCAGTTCTAAAAATCACGTTCAAACAAACTCTTCTACTTTATTATATTTATCATCATCATCATCGTCATCATCATTATATCAGCCTTTAACTGTCCACTGATGAACATATGACTCCCCTTAGAGGGTTTTCCCAGTAGTTGCCACGCTTGGCAGGCGAATTGGCAACCACATTCAGGCTTTAAAGATGTTTTAAGAGGGAAGCTGCTGCCTATCCCTCGCCTTCCCTTAGTCGGCTCTTACGACACCCACGGGATATAAAGAGGTTGCCTATTCTATGCCGAGACCACACTTTATTAAAATAGTATACATTTATTAATAAAAAGTTATGAAAAGTAGTTAAGACTCAAATTATACCAACACAATTTGATTCTTAAATTTATATACACAAAACTCACTTTATGTTTGAAACTTCTTTCTCTAATATCCCTGAAACGGGGTTCATACCCACACACTGTCCACAAATCAGTACCCACTTCATTGAATGTTGGAATAAAGAATACTGATCATTTATATCGTCACTTTCATGTCCTTGTATAGCTAAAATAGCAGATGGCATATAATTTAAAAATATTATCTTACCCTCAGTGCTTATATTAATGTATCTAATATATTATGTTTATGTAATAATTACGTGCATGCCTTATTATGTTTTAAGGTTAAATTCATATTTATTTTTAAAATTATAGAATGTACTTATTAGTTTTTATGTTCCTGAAATTAGCTCAGTATCCTCATTGATTTAAGAACAATAAATAGGAACGTTTTAAAGAATTATACGAATTAAACATTAAATAAGAAAATATTTGAAGAGAATAAAAAATCTTTTTACTCGACTACTTGGTCCATTTTAAGTATATTAGTCCCATAGTAAGTTAACCAAAAATATATTTTGTTTAACGTACTACTCTATTATCATACAACTTAAATGTAATTGTAAGTTCTATATTACTGTGTGAGTCACAAGATGCTATAAATACATTCTTTTATGTTTTTTTCTATTGTTTTCAGAAAAAAGAGAAAGAGAAGAAGTATGCTACATATAGTCTAGCTTTTAGTACTAGTACAAAAAGCAGGACTGTATGTAGTATATTTAAGTAACATACTTAAGTTTTTAGTACTAGTATAAAAAGCTGGGTCATGTGCAGCATACTTAGGTAACTAAAGGAACTTATTTACTCACTTAACTACAAAAAGTATGCTATATATAGTCTAGCTTTTAGTACTAGTACAAAAAGCTGGACTGTATGTAGTATACTTAAGTGACTAGAAGAACTTACTTACTCACTTAACTAAAAAAAGTATGCTACATATAGTTTAGCTTTTAGTACTAGTACAAAAAGCTGGACTGTATGTAGTATATTTAAGTAACTAGAAGAACTAACTTACTCACTTAACTAACAAAAGTATTCTATATATAGTTTAGCTTTTAGTACTAGTACAAAAAGCTGGACTATATGTAGTATACTTAAGCGACTAGAAGAACTTGTACATACCATATGTAGAATACTTAATTTTTTGTTATTTCTAAAACCCTTATTTTGTACCGATAATTAAATAAACGTGGTCCGCCGACAAAATTACTGTTGTTTCTTTCAGACAAACGTAATTAGTTACAGGCATGGGATCAGCTAAAATGCTCACCTTTACATAACGTCCATTTTCCTGGAGTCTTCGAAGTAGTTGTACTTTCTTTATTTCTGTAATAAAAAACGGCACTTTACATTAAGTCTGTCTTAAATGTAAATAAATTGTACTTTAAACACTCACCCGTAATTTATAGTAGGATACTTATGATGCAATGCTTTGAAGTTTAACTTTTCCAAATCGTTATACAATTTGGAGTACGAGCGATCTGTGAAATATAATTTTATTACAATAATCGCCGCCATATTTATTATAATCATTATATAATACCATGCCATTCGGCCATTTTCTCGTAATAAATCGTGGTATAAAAAATAATTTTGTTTGTTTATGTACTTATTTACTTGTTACCTCTTATTGTCTTAACCTTAACCAATTATCATAAAATTTATTAAGTATAATAATATGGCCGTTTGATCCCGATATTGAATAGGCTAGCTCTTCCTTTACCGTGGATGTCGTAAGAGGTGACTAAAGTAAAATTAATTGGGGAGGTATGGGCAGCAGCGTCCGTCTTAAGATATTACCAAAAGCCTAGCTGCGGTTACCAACCCGCCTGCCAAGCGTGGCAACTACTGGCAAACCCCCTTTAATGAGGCCTATATTGAGCAGTAAACAGTTAACGGCTAATATGATGATGATGATGATGATGAAGTTTAATAATAATACATTTGTTTTAGTTTGTGGCAGATTGTACAATGGTTAAATTCAGCAATTCATTCAATCGTGTAGATATATATAATAAGATACAAGTATATAAGGTACATGACAGTGAATTTAATTTAGCGAATCCAGTTTAAACTTGAACTAAATTAACTATACCAGAGAAGGAACGTGAACTTTCTTGATGACACAGGAAACTTGGAAATCTCATAATATACCGTCTTCAAATATACATAGGATTGAATTTACAACTATCAAATCTTTTATTTTAAACCTTATACATTTAAAAGTATTAAGAAATACTTATTGAGTAAACTTTATTACTTTAAATGCTTACTAAGAAGATAAACGTGCTTGGAGTAAAAAAAAATATGGAGTTATACGAAACAGTATACTCTGTTATGTCATTGGGCTTACATATATGGCTCATATGCTCTACCTATAGGCGACGGTTACCACTTTTCATCAGGTAGGCCGTCAGCTTGTTGGACATTCTAAGTTGCATAAAAAAATGTTTCCGTTTGAATGGTGGGATATGGCTATAAAATTACAGGGCCCAGAGATTTAATGTGGTAGTCCTCAGGATAGTAACGCATGAGAAATATCATGGGAATACTAATCTATTCTGTTATGTCTATGATATTGTTCGTGTCTATACGCGATGGTTACCATTTTCCATCAACTTATTTGCCATGCTAAGTTATTAATTATTATATCAGTCGTTAATTGTCCACTGTTAAATATAGGCCTTTCCTATAAGGGAAGTTTTACCAGTAGTCGCCACGCTTGGCAAGCGCGTTGACAACCACAGTTAGGCTTTAGTGATATTTTAAGAGGGGCCCTACTGCCCATTTCTTGACCATTAAGTTTCCTTAGTCGCCTCTTACGACAGCCACGTCAGGGAAAGAAATTGGTGGCCTATTCTATGCCGGGATCGCATGGCGGAAATCCATTCTGAATATCATACAGAAAAGAGAGATTTGATAAACTTACTAACTACATATTGAATTTCTTGTAATTTCATATAATGATAATATCAAAAAGTATTGTTTGAAATGTTTGAAATTTATCTTTTACATTTATAACGTTATATGAATTTACTAGTAAAAAAAAACACTTACCTGTTGATTGCACGGTGATACTAATTGGTTTTATTTCATTCATAATCAACGGTGATGAGATTTCGTGATGAAATGTATTTCTTTTTATATAATATTCTACGGCTCTGGATGCGTCTAATTCCACTCGATATAGCTTGTACACTAAATGTATATTTTATTTATCTCACAACATTTTCCTTTTGTTGTTTGTTCGTCCTGTCATTTCATCGTTCCGATTTATTATGACAATTACCAGTTCGATATTTTTAGAACTATCATTACTTTGATAATAATAATATTTAAATTGCTATGGCCTTCAGTGAGTTTACTTATCGAAATATCATGATACATTAACTTACATTTATATTCATATAATTTTATTTCATTTATACGTAATTATACTTTACTAGTAGTTTGACTTAACACGAATAAATATATAATAAATACTTTAACTACTTAAATGAAATAAGTATTCTAGTAATATACTAGTGACTCGCCCTGGCTTTACATGGTACATTTATTATTTATATGCTGTTTATACATTTTAATATAGATATTTTTTTTAACAGATGATAATGGTATGGAAACCCCCCTGCGCTATCGGTATACGCTGGCGGGGCACCAGTGAGGGATGATAGGTGAGAATGGAAAAGCAGGTCTGTTAGCCCATCGTGATGAATACATCTGGAATTCAGCACAATGGTTTTCAAGGGGACCACGTGGAAGTCGACCTGACAGAGTATATTGCTTGTAATGGAACTAATAGTCCGCATTATTAACAGCCGCTTTCCCCCAATATAGATATTAGGTCATAATAACAATGTACACAGGTGGGCTTATCCTTTAAAGGGATTTCTTCCAGTCAACCTTGAGAACCCGAAAGGAGAATGTATCTACAGAATTCGTTAATAAAGTGTAACATATATGATGGAAAAATAATACGATAAATAATATAATAGTAGCTATATAAACTATATAACTACTAATATAATTTATGTATATTTATATAACAGAGTATAGTAAAATAAAATTATAAATAAATAAATATATGAAACATAGAAAAACAGTTGTTGAACTATTTCTTTATGCTTAATAAATAACAGATTAAAATTATAATAAAAACATAGAATAACTATGTATGTAAGTAACTCAACTATCAATTGTATTGTAACATTTTTTAGTTTGATTTTCGGAGGCATGAACAGTCTGCGTCCATCTATTATAATTTTAAAGGGAATTCCAAAGTAGCAGCTTGCACTGTAAAGGACTTGGGTAAGAGTGGGAGTTGTGGATAGGTAATTCCAATGTAGGTATTGTGTTTAAGATAAAGCACACGGGGATTGGGGATTCTAAAGAAAATCTCTCTCGGAGGTAATCAGAGGCGGAGAGGTCAAACAAAATCTTGTTCGAACAAGGATAGGATGTGCATATTACGTGGGTTCCTTATTGGGAGCCAGCTGGGTTGCTTGCGGTAGATGGAGACATGATCGTATTTACGCAAACTAAAAACATTTTACCAGAGAGAGACTTTGTACAAAAGTCGTTTGCACCTCTCATTCATATTTCAATTGTAAAGCAGTGGTGTTTGTATAGCTGTGTTTCGGTTTGAAGGGTGGGATATGGCGTGAATTTACTGGGTACAGAGGAATAACATCTGAGTCCTCAGGAAAGGCAACGCATGGGGATATCATGGGCGAAACAGTATACACTGTTATGTCCATGGTACTGCTTATGTCCATAGGCGACGGTTACCACTTTCCGTCAGGTAGGCCGTCAGCTTGTTTGCCATTCTAAGTTGTATAAAAAAAAACATTCCTGATTCATTGATATATTGTACATGTATTATATACCTACAAACTTTCTGTAAAAATTTTGCTTGTGTACTGAATCCTCATTGTTTGAATTCAACTCACGCTTGACCGGTTTTATTTATTTTACCTTTAATTTTATTTAAGGTAAAACATCACAAAAGATAAAGCTTAACGGATTTTGTGGTTAACGCTTTATTAACGGTCCATTAAATTTGCTTTAATCCTTCTTATTTTAACAGAATGAAAATATTTAAACTGGTTTAAATAAAAATGAATAAATATAAATAAATATAAATGTAATATGAACAAAATGTTCATTAAATACAAATTAAAATGGTGTCTTGCATAAGGAATATGATAGGTGTCACAGTATATATAGTGTTATGTACATGGTACAACTTTTGTTTGTTAAAATAAAAATAGAATAACAACCCGTGTACGCTATCGATATACGCTAGCGGAGTACCAGTGAGGGATGCCAGGTGAAAATGAAATCAGGTCAATTGGCGCATCATCAGAAACTCACTGGAATATAACCACGATGATTTCCAGCAATCGCGTGATGGTCGACCAGACAGGTTTTTTATAATAAAAATGTAATGGTAACCTCACCTACACTACAACGCAGACCACTTGCTGGTACAGCATCAGTGAGTGATGATGATGACGATGAGAAAGCAAACCAATTGGCCCATTGCAACGAATTCAACAAGGATAAATGAAAACAGTTTATAGGGTGAACCACGTGAAAGTCGATACGATTAGGTATATTGCTAGCAATGGGGCTGTTAGATCGTATTATCAAAAATCCCTTGTCCCCAAGTAAGTACAAGTTATCATGTTTATGGATCTCAATATATATATTACATATAGCAAAGGGAAACTTTGTACAAAAGTTGATTGCTTGGGTACCTCTGTCCCATTCGTGTTTCTACCGTGAAGCAGTTGTGTTTGTATGACTGTGTTTCGGTTTCCTTTCTAAGTTGTATAAAAAAAAATATTCATTACAAGTCAACACAATATTTAGTCTTGCAATATTACTATTTCTTAGATAAGGGAGGTTTTTTTTTACAACTTAGATTGGCAAACGAGCTGACGGCCCACCTGACCGTGGGGTGGTAACCGTCGTCTATAGACATGAGCAGTACTATAGACATAACAGAGTATACTGTTTCGCCCATGATACCCCCCATGCGTTGCCATTCCTGAGGACTCAGGTGTTATTCCTCTGTACCCTGTAAATTCACGCCATATCCCACTCTTCAAACCGAAATACAGACATGCAAACACAACTGCTTCACGGTTGAAACACGAATGAGACAGAGGTACCCAAGCAATCGATTTTTGTACAATGGACACGCGTGTCTCCAATGCTAGCAATATACTTCGTCAGATTGATATATTGAATTAATCACGATTGGTTAATTTATTTGCCTTTATCCTTACTGGTGCTCCACCAGCATATACCGACAACGCAGGCGGAGTTACCACTCTCCAATTTTATGTCATTACTAAAAGAATATCACTATCTTTACGAATTTGTAATTTTCTGTTTAAAATTTGAAATAAGTTTCTAAGGGAGGAAAATATGCTTGTGTTGTTAAATACTTATTCGTTAAAACTGAAGCGTAGATACGAGTACATTCGTACTTAGAAACAGAAGTTTGTCACTCCTACGAGAACTTTCCTCGCCTCGAGCCGCGTAAGCGTTATTTGTCTGCGGCCCTCTATAAGATGAAAGTTGTTCCGCTGAACACCGCCCATTTTCGAGCAAGTAAACTATAAAAGTACATGCAAATCTTAAACTCACACCGATAAATGACGAGATGTTATACATATTTATACATAATTTTTAAGCAATATTTTTTTTTTATTTATTTCAAGGTAACAGTTACATAGACAGTATATATTCTTAGTGCTGCGAAACTGCATTGCAGTTTGTCTGCAGCTCTGCGCTCTTGTACATACAGCTTTTTAAACAATTATAAACTTATATCCTAATTCTATATACTAAACTTATATCTTTATACATACATATACACAGATATGCATATATACACATATATACATATATACATATACATATACACACAGACACACATGCATATACTAAGTGGATGTTACTGGTATGAATATACACTCATACCAGTAAAATCCCCTTTTTCCACAACATTCACTATCTAAATTAAATCTAATACTGTTCTATAAAAAGTTTTTTAACTTTTCTTTTAAAATATTTTAACGTGACATTATTTAATAATCTTATATTTCTCGGTAATACATTATAATATTTTGGAACTAATTGATTTCAGATGTCCTAGATTAAACTCACTAGAGGGAGAGTTTGTACAAAAGTCGTTTGCTTGGGTACCTCTGTGTGTTTCTACCGTGAAGCAGTTGTGTTCATATATAGTGGTTAACAAATAATCTATAACTAAAAATTTTTTATAAAAATATAGTTATACTCAATATTACAAATTACAATTATTTTTACGCGTAATCCTATTTGTTGTTAAATCCCGTTTCTTATCTATTTATCTTAGAATGACTAAGTAACTAAACCTTATATCAACGTACAGCCGAAACCGCTGAATCAAGCAATCAATCTTAATATTTTGCAAGTAGGTTGTTAATAAAATGTAGGTGAACTATAAGAAAGGATTTTTGAAATATCAACTCTTAAGGGGATAAAACTTATAAAATCAACGCATACGAAGCTGCGGGAAAAAAGTAGTAATCCATAAAATATTCGTTAATTTTAAACTTTCGCATTGTTTACATGCATTTAAAAACATTGAGTGTGTAAGTCTAAAATTTAATATAATTAAAGTACTCATTACATTATTAAATCTGTGACCAAAGCATTATCCATAGCGAAGAATTTGTGACAACAAGAACATAACGTTATAAGAAAATTTTGAATTCATAGCAAAAGTTTTTAATAAAGTTACAAAAGTGTTAGGCGTATTAGATAAACGGGGGTAGTTGTCCCCGTAGCCAATATTCCGAGGATTTGCATAAACTGGCATTTGATATTGAAATGTAAATGGGGTTGGCCTGGACCCAATAATGTAATCTTGGCTATCATACCGGCCTTATATCAGTCAGATGATATTACCGGTAAATGATAAGGAAAGTACAGAAATAGATTTCAGTTTTAACTATCTCTAGTTTTTTTCTTTAAAAGATTTTAAGTTGACATTAATAATTTGCATTAATTTATTTTTAAATGTGTCGGCTTTACTCACGATTTAAGTTCGAGAATGTCTAACTAGTTTCGAACTCGATAGGAGCTCTTATTCAAGAGCGCAGTTCACGGCTGTTACGCGAGCAGCACTGCACGACCAGCATGCTGTTCGTCAGCGGCGGTTGCAATGGTGATTGGGCTGATTGTAGTTGGACATCCCCGAGTTGAAAACGTAAATAAACTTGACATAAATAATTACAATTATTAAATTATAATTTATTATCATTGTTTCATTTCATTTCAAGTCTCCCACAGGGAGAATTTGTACAAAAGTCGTTTGCTTGGGTACCTATGTCTCATTCGTGTTTCTACCGTGAAGCAGTTGTGTTTGCACGGGTGGGATATGGCGTTAATTTACACGGCACAGAGGAATAACACTCGAGTCCTCAGGAATGACAATGCCTGGGGGGTATCATGGGCGAAACAGTATACTCTGTTATGTCCTGCTCATGTCTATAGGCGACGGTTACCACTTTCCATCAGGTGGGCCGTCAGCTTGTTTGCCATTCTAAGTTGTATAAAATATATATATATAATCATAAGAATGGGTTTAGAATTAGCGTACATAGCGCGTAACACAAAAAAATGAAGTCAAATTTAGAATCTTATTGTTTTTTAATAGATAGAAGATAATTAAAAATTTCAATTGAAAATCTCATTTCATTAACATTTAACCGATTCCAAAATAAGGAAAGATTTGGAAATAATTAATCTTTGCCCATCGTTTTATATTTTTGAAATCCTTAATTCACTACATTATGTAACTATAACACAAATGATAAAAGTAACATTATATCTGGAAAGAGATTAATTATTGATTATTGGTTCGAAGATTTTGTTATCATAAACACTCACAGAGTACGTCAAAGGAATAATATTGTACAGGTATAATAAATAACACTTTGAAAAAAAATTTTAAAAAAATTCGCGGTTCAAGTTTAAGCAATAAGAAGTATAACAATGTATGCTTGATCTTGTTTTTGAGTAGTAAGTGTTGTTGTTTTTACCTTAACAGGAACAACATTGTTGGAAACAACACAAGCAAACAATGCTGTTTTTGAACTTTGCATGGATATACAGTATCGTTACATAAGATAGGTGTAAGGTATGGTAGATATATATATATATATATATATATATATATATTCAATTATTAACTAATATTATTTTCACTTTCATTATTATATGTATTGTAGCATTCTTGTTTTGGATACAAATATATATTTTTAATAGTTTAATACATATTCTCGCGCCCACACATCCAACAACATAATGTACACAAACTTCAAATCTAAGATAGGTATTATAAAAGTCGTATATCTATTAAAATACGTCTCTTCAAATATTAAATGACAATCAAAACATAAAACGTCTACGCCCACCCACTGAAACAAACAACAAAACAATACGTGTATATTATTTGAGTAAAACAAAATAATACGTTATTTGTCAACATAAATTCATATCGACTGCAAATAATCGGTTGAAGTTGAATGTCCACGTCGGTCGTATATTAAAGGCACTTAAAAACTTTTACAGAGAAATGTAACGTTTTATGAATGTTATACTGGCTGAGACGCGTGGCTTTGCTCGCGTTAATTGTGTATAATATAATAATTCTTGTAGAATATGGTCCATCTGTTTGTTTATGCGAGATTGAGCAGCAAACATTCAAATATGTGACAATGTAAAGTAAATTTAAATGTCTCTCGAAACTATTGTACATATAATCACTAGATTTTGCCTGCAATTTTGTCCGGGTAACTGAGATAATGTTTAATGACCCTGGTCAACCAATCAGTCTTTTCACATCTCACTTAACTATAAGACTATTGGCTGAAGCATTTAGATGCTAAGAGGTAACAAACAAACAAATTCATTTTACAATTTTTTTTTAATGAAATGCTAACCTTGGCTGTGCTATCGGCATACGCTAACGGAGTATCAGTAAAAAATGACAGGTGAGGATGGAAACATATCAGCTGACTCTTCGTAACGAATTCAACTAGAATAAAACACAATGATTACTAAGAGGAACCGCGTGGAAGTCGACCTGATTGGGTATATTGCTAGCAACGGGGATTAACGTCCCCATCACTAACAATCCCTATTCTTTATAATAGAAAGGATAATGTGGATATAATAATAAAACTGTATTTATCTCTTACGACATTTATTTGATAAAACAGGCATACGTACATTGAGACGCAAGACTATTTTCAATCGACTTCAAAAAATGAGGTAGTTTCCAATTCGATTGTATTTTTTTGTTTGTTACCTCATAATTCCATCAGTTATAAACCATTATCGTCTTCCCACCCGTACCCCAAATATTATTTGGGGTCGGCATTATATAGTTTTCTCTTCCGTTCTTCTCTATTCGCAGACATTTCCGCATTCACCCCCTATTCTGATTATATTATCTTTTACAGTTAACAGTTATAAACCGATTTGGATTTTTTTTATCTAAGATTTTCAGATATTTTCAGATAGGTAGGATTCCCATAGAATTTTTTCCAAAATCATTTCAATAGTTTACTTGAAAAATTAAAATAACTGGCTTTATGACAATTGAAGTCTGTTTTTTTTGTGGAACTCAATCTAATAAAATTTTATTTATGATCTTGTCAAATATTAGTTACTATTTACTCGTACTACTAATCTACATATTAATAAAAAATCTTTGTACCCCTTTTTATGAAAATTGTACGGACGGAGGAGTTTATATAGAGAAGCAGTGTAGAATACTAATGTTTTTTTTTTTTTAATTATGCATAAAAGTACATTAAATCAATAAAAAAAAATACATACACTATTATGTATTTGACACACACACGTATATATACTCTTTTGTTTATTGTTAAAGTTTGTGGTCAAATTGAGAATAGATAATAGTGTTTGTCTTTAATATTATTTGTCTATAGTCTTACTGCATGTCAAATATAACAATAATAATTGATTACAATATATGTTATGGTCGAATTTCGACCTCCGAGTGACTACTAATTTAATTAAATAGGTAGCTGCAACATTACCAACTCATAAGTCGTAATTGTGGAAATTACCTGCAAATATAAAGAAAAAACAAAATACATTAACTTCACTGGAATAACAAGATCTGTAATAAATAATTAATTTGTATTTCATAGTTTATTGTTATCATATTATCGTACTGTTTGTTTTGACTACTATAATTAAGACGAATCTGAACACGTCAATTTTAATACTTTTTGTACTAGAGGTGACTATGAAATGAAAAGAAATGCAGTGAAACATAGAACCTTCTCTTTATTGAAGTCGGTTATCAATATCGTCTTAAGGCGATCCTTACGGGACTAGTCAACCGATTTTAAAGAAATTTTATAAATATGTATTGTTAACTCTAATTTGAGAAAAAGGATGTCAAAATTTCTCCACAGCTAGTGTGTTCTGAAGTTGGTTTAAGTCTTAATCATCTGATGTTTTTCCCAACAAATCAGCATTTGAAAGAAAAATTGTTGAACAATGCATTTTAATTTTAAATGCATTATAATGATTTTTTATGCAATTTAAATGGCAAACAAGCTGACGACCCACTTGATGGACAGTGGTAACCATCGCCTATAGACATGAACAGTACCATCGACATACCATGGCGCCCATGTTACACTCTATGCGTTGCTATTTCTGAAGACTAATATGTTATGCCTTTGTACCCCATAATTTCATTGCGATATCCCACCCTTCAAACCGAAACACAGCTTCGCAAACGCATCTGTTTCACAACAGAATCACACAGACAGAGATATATCTTTATATCAAGTTTTCTGTAGACTTTGGCCGTCAAGTAACCATGATAAGAGGAGGGAGAAAGATCGTAAGTAATGAAAATCGAAAAGCCCCATTGCTGCCAATATACCGTCATGGCAACATCCACGTGGATCCCTTGAAACTATCATGGTTAATTATTTGAAATTGTCACAATGGGTCAACTGATATGCTTTCATCCTCACTGATCATCTCTCAGTGGTATCCAGCTAGCGTATACCGATAGCGAAACCATTCGATTTTCATTAATTAGAATAAAACTATGATAAAAGTATTATAATTGTGAGATAGATGATGGATTTATATAAAAGGCAAATTAATATTTGTGGCTACTTACATTAAGTATAGTTTTCCGTGTTATATTGAAACTTACTCCGCTCAGTGCCACCGGAGCGTATTTAATCTGCATTTGAAATCTTTGCACCTGCATAAAATAAATTAATGTTCTACAGTAAACTGAAACCTACCAGAGGGAGACATTGTACAAAATTGCTTTTTTTTTATTTTTTTTTTGCTTTGGTACCTCTTTCCCATTCGTGTTTCAACCGTGAAGCAATTGTGTTTGCATGGCTGTGTTTCGGTTTGAAGAGTGGGATATGGCGTGAATTTACTGGGTACAGAGGAATAACACCTGAGTCCTCAGGAATGGCAACGCATGGGGGGTATCATGGGCGAAACAGTATACTCTGTTATGTCCATGGTACTGCTCATGTCTATAGGCGACGGTTAGCACTTTCCATCAGGAGGGCCGTCAGCTTGTTTGCCATTCTAAGTTGTATAAAAAAAAACCTACAAATATTAAATTATATTCATTCTCACACGCTTGAAATTTTCTCCCACGAACGTTCAGGCTGTAGAATGAGCTCCCTGTCGCGGTTTTTTCTAGAGTCTGCAGTATGGGGTTCTTCAAAAACTTACTATATATTAAGATTTCTTCATGGTAGTCAACGCGTACGTGACACCTATAGTGTTGCAGGCGTCTACAGGCTACAGTGATCGTTTACCATTAGACGGGCTGTATGCTTGCTGACCACCTTTGTGGTACAATTTTTTTTTAACTTTTACAATGTTATGTCATTCTATAAGGATAAAACAGTTTAATATCTAAAATAGGTGTGTATTAGGTTTGTTGTTTTTATGAATAAGGGAGTAAGATTTTATATTGGATGTGAAAATATCTCATAATAAACCATAACTCTCTCATCTCCTAACTAACTCTAGTTAGTTCTACTAGAGCTCTCTAAATAACGCAATATGTGCCAGTTTTCGTTATGATAGTTTTCGATAGAAATTATCTCTGTCACCATCTACCATCCCAATGAATTTCCAACCCAAATAATCACGTTTTAGAGAGGTGCAGCAATTCAGAAAAGATTTCTCCCCTAAATACTCATATTTTGCAACGAGCTGAGATGAATAAAAATTGCCATGTGATACTGGCATACAATGGGTCACCCCGTTCTTTACCATTGGTGTAGTAGAGGTGACTAAGAAAACTTAATAGTCAAGCGATGGGCAGTATCGTCGCTCTTAAAACATCACCAAAGCCTAACAAAACCTATGGGGGAGATCTATGTTCAGTAATAAACAATAATATGATGAGGCTGATATGATATGTCTATAGGCGACGGTTACCACTTTTCATCAGGTGAGCCGTCAGCTTGTTTGCCATGTTTATTATGGCAAACAAGCTGACGGCCCATCTATGTTTTATTTACAAGTGAATACACTGTGACACCTATGGTATTAGATAACATCAATCATGTTGCACATACTTATGGATATTACTTACATCGTAAGTTACTTTATCCTAATTTAACACGAAGAATATTTGAGATACTGATTCACACAGCTTAAGTAATGGAACACAGCTAGTATTATATCGAGAAGTATGCTTATTTGCCATTATTGTTTGTAAAAAAAAACATAAATGAAAAAAACATAAAAAAACACCAATCATCAAACAGAATTTTCAGCTCTTTAAAACAAAATATTTAAATTATATGTTACCTCTATAGAATATTCCGACGATGGTACATCATACAAGGCAACCAATGGTTTCCTTGCCACTATATTAATGTTAGCCGCCATTAAAGAGGTCACGAAACATCTTACGATTAAATATATAGTAGAATAAATGTAGTAAACAGCGCGATAGACTGTTCTAATGTCACTGAAAATAAAATGTATTTATTTATTTATTTGTAGGATTACCAACATAAGATACAGCTAAACATTTCAAAACAATACACTGGTAGATCAAATCCAACTGTTCTAACATTTATAGGCAACCACAGCATGCCTTGTGTTTGTGTTTGTATATTAAATGTATATTATATATATAATTTTTTAGGATTCTGTACCAAAAAGGTACAAATGTACTCTTATAGTACGACTTTCTCAATCCATTCATTCATTTGTTACAGCGCTATTTCTCAACAACCACTTATACTATTGATTTGAAATTTGGAAAAGTTTTACATGTTGTTGGCTTGTATATGTTAATTAATTAAATTAATTAATTAAATATCGTCATGTTATGATAAAAAGTTCATTTTTTACACTATCTATACGTATTATAGTTTAATAAATAAATATTTATAACATTTTACTTTACTGTTTCTTAAAGCGTATATCTTACTAATTAATATTTCTCTAATAAACAAGCATAATATGGGAATCTTATATTATAGAAAATTTTATTAAAGTACTTACTCCTTAATTATTGTGTGATTACATCCAAATGCTTTACCCTGAGCTTGACTGTAAAAAAAGTCAGTATATATAATACATACCGTTTAAAAAATGTTAAAATACCTTTTGCTTTGGGCTTTTATAGTAGGATTTATGATGAACGAAATGTTAAGCTCCATTTATTTGCCCAATTTTTGTAGGTACATTTTTTTACAACATTAGGTAGGTAAAAACAAGAAATTGAGCCCGAAAATTCGGAATTTCATTTTTTTTTTTATACAACATAGAATGGCAAACAGGCTGACGGCCAACCTGATGGAAAGTGGTAACCGTCGCCTATAGACATGAGTAGTACCATGGACATAACAAAGTATACTGTTTTGCCCATAATACCCCCATGCGTTGCCATTCCTGAGGACTCAGGTGTTATTCCTCTGTACCAGTAAATTCACGCCATATCCCACCCTTCAAACCGAAACACAGCCATGCAAACACAACTGCTTCACGGTTGAAACACGATTTCATGGTAGACCCCCCTGTACCTTGCTGCCTGATATTCCATTATTACAGTAGGCTACTATATCCTGGTCTTAAGTAGATATTGTGATTAATTCCTGGTGAATACGCTACGATTTTACAACTTTTCTGACTTTATCCTCATCTATTAACAATCACTGGGAAACCCATACCATAATAACGCAAGATGGGTTACCATTCTATTTTCATCCATTAAATAAACTAATAATGACTAAACAAGAAATAAATAATTGTTTGATTAGAATTATTTTGTCTGTGACTACCGTCACTATTATTACCGGACGTTCCACAACCTTTCATATTAGCCATCAATCTCCGACTGCCATTTTGTTCACGCACGTTTTGCGACATGTGTTTCATCTCAACGAAGTATCTTCAGGCAAATTATTAGAACGCTGCACGGAACCTAGTGTTAATAACCTTTCGGCACTCAAACTGCGAAATTCGCACTAGCGGAATTAAACAAAATAATTATAACCAACCGTGTGGTCCCAGCATAGAATAGGCCACCCCTTCCTTTCGATTCGAATTCGAATCAACTAAGGGAGGGCGAGAACTGGGCAGCATCGTCCCTCTCTAAAGCCTAATTGCGGTTGCCAACTCACCTGCCAAGCGTGGCTACTACTGACAAAACCCCCAAGCTTATGTTTAATAGTAGACAGTTAAAGGCTGATATGACGGTATGATATGATAACTTCTAACCACTGATATGGTCTTCCACAAAATAACACCTAAAATAGTAAAATAAATAAACTACACTCGCTTACTACTTACTGAATGGTATTATATAACTGCCAACAAGTGAAATACAGGTAAACGAAGAAGGTAACCAGACACATGCTGCTCATGTGAGAATCTACTTCTGAAATCAGAGCCGCTGCACGGGAGTACAGCAAACGGAGTCGTTTCCAGTTCTTCTGAAAGCCATACGTACAAATACTATCTAGATATTAAAATATATTTACGTCTTAAATATGTTAATAGTGTTGATTGTTTTTTTTTTTAAATGGGCGATAATGGAATGGTAACTTCACCCGCGCTATCGGTATACGCTGGCGGGACACCAGTGAGAGATGATAGGTGACGATGAAAGTAGGCCAGTTAGGCCATCGTGACGAATTCCACTAGAATTAACTACGATGGTTTCCAGGAGGAACCGCGTGGAGGTCGACTTGATAATGGGTCATTTAGACCTCATTACTAACAATCCCTTCCCCCCAGTAGTGATTATGGCACTTGGTTAAACTTTGTATACAGATTGATATTGTTAGAAAACACTTGTACTTCTTGTATATATTTCTAACTGCGGTTGCACCCATCTGCCATCTGCCAAACGCCTGCCTGGCAAAACCCTTTTCTGAGGAAGGCATGTGTTCAACAGTGGACAGTTTTTTTTATTTTTTTATTGGATGAAAATGGAATGGTAACCCCGCCCGCGCTAACGGCATACGCTGGCGGGGTACCAGTGAAGGGTGATCGATGAGGATGAAAACAGGCCAATTAGCCTATCATGATGAATTAATCAGGAATTAACCATGATAGTTTCTAGGGGGAAACTCGAGGAGGTCGACCTGGTTGAGTATATTGCTAGCAATGGGATTTTCAGTCTTCATTACTAACAATCCCTTTCCCCCCGACAGTGGACAGTTAGTAGTGGACAGCTGACATGATAATAATGATGACTAGTACACTCACAAAATAGGCTTTATAATAAATACCTGAATTATTTCGCCGTTTGGGGCATTCCTATGTTTTCTAATAATAAACTAGCCACCCGCCCTGGCCTTGCTCAGGTGTAGTAATAAAGAAAATGAGATTCAATTTATCAATCTGTCACTTTTATCAACATTTTTAAATTACTACCTTCTTTTTTCAATCTTACTAGATTGATTGTCAAACGTATAATGTTAAAAGAAATAAAGATCTCCATAAATATCGTCACGAAAAATTTAAAACGTCTCTACTTGTATACCGTGACGATAAAATCTTACGATATTATACCTTGCTACGGTAAATAGTAATAACGTCCAATTACTTTTATAATTAAAAATAAAAACATAAATTTTTTTATACAACTTAGTATAGCAAACAAGCTGACGGTCCACCTGATGGAAAGTGGTAACCGCCGCCTATAGACATGAGCAGTACCATGGACATAACAGAGTATACTGTTTCACCCATGATACCCCCCAATATTTAAATGCTAAACTATAGTAGAAATAAATCACAACATTACCTTCTTTTCACTACTATTCGTGTATATAATTTTATTTAAAATCTGAAAGTACGTTACAAGGTATGTACTAACTGACATTAAAAGCACATCACTGAAACACCAGAGAAATATCGCCTGGATATTTGCAATCTGAAACAATATAACACTACAATTATTAGCTATGTAATCCCAGATAGAATGGACCATCCCTTCCTTTTCTTTCCCATAGGTGTTGTAAGAGGCAACTAAGAATTTAATGGTCGAGTGATGAGTAGTAGCGACCCTCTTAAAACATCATCAAAATCTATATTCGTTTGTTGACCTGCCTGTCAAGTATGGCAACTATTGGCAAAACCCCCCCAAGGGGGAGGCCTATATTTAGCAACGGACAATTAAGGGTTGATATGATGATGACAGTACTATTATTTATGGTGATTCGTCATCATCATCATTTAAGCCATTATCCGTCCACTGCTGAACATAAGCCTTCCCCATAGACTACCATAAAGAACAGTCCTGAGCCACCTGCATCTACTGATTCCCTTCAACACAATTCAGGTCGTCCATCAAGTGGGTGGTCGTTCTACACTGCGTTTACGTGTACATGGTCGCCACTCAAGAACCTGGAAAACCTGGGGAAGAACCCCATCGGTTGTCGGTTCTTCGAGCTATGTGAATAGCCCATTGCCACTTCAGCTTGCTTATAGTGATTACATTAATACATATACTTTTTCAACATACTACTTGGAACAATCAATAAGCTATTGGCTCTGATGGAAATATGTAGGTATCTCTTATTGAGATGATCAGCAACAATGTAAAGCCAAGAGGATTTAGTTTTTTTTTATTCGTCTTTTAATTAGCTTTTTGTTTGCTACTTCGTACGCAAATATTTCAGAAGTAGAGAAATCAATTATATAGACCTTTTTTAGATAGTAAAACATACACCAGATATTAAAATAAATCTTCAGAAATTCAACTGTGAAACCTGCAGTCAATTTTGTTCAGTAATCTTTGTATGGTCTCGAAACAAATATGAGACAGGCGGACATTTTAAGAAGGATTACGCTCTTTTCTTGAAGGTTGTTCGTTTATTATATTCAGGACCCGGTACTCGGGAGTGCCGGGTCCTGAATGTAATACCCTCATAACGCAAACTGTATTATAAGGACCCGGGTTCGAATCTCGGTCGGGCCAATTTAGGAAACGGACTTTTCTAAATTGGGTTGGATCCGAGTATAGTTATGTCTCCAGATGTTTGTTGCCTTGCCACGATACCCTACCTTATGGACCAATTATTGGAGTGAATTTGTAGTTTTTTAAAATCTAAGTGAAGTTCCTGGTGGTAGAAATAGAAGATGTAACAATAGAAACACCTTTTGTAAATAAATAAAATAAAAGTGTGATAATCAAATTGAACTTACCTGCAAAAGAACTCCTATCCAGACGTTATAAGGTATATATTTAAAATAATCGACATGGACAAATGAATAATATTTCTCGAAGAAATCACTTATGTTATCCGGTTTACCGAAACATCGGAAGGCCAATTGTGAAAATAGCATGCTATTGAATATGTATTCCACTAAAACAATAATAGACTTTGTTAAATGTATTGTAAAATTTTCGATTACGTTACGTACGTCATTTCGTCAAATTTAAATTTAGTACTTTTTATCATCATCATATCAGCTTTTAACTGTCCACTGTTGAACATAAGCATCCCCCTTGGGGGGTTTTGCCAATAGTTGTCATTCTTGGCAGGCGAATTGGCAACCGCAGTTATGCTTTAGAGGCGTTTTAAGAGGAACACTGCTGCTCGTCCTTCACCCTCCCTTAGACGACTTTTACGACACTCACGGGATAGAAAGGGGTGGCCCATTCTATGCCGGGACCGCACGGCCAAGTACTTTTTATACTAATCGTAAATTAACATTAATATCATCAAAATGAAAATAAATTGATACAGGTTTAAAACCTAGTACAGGCACCAGCTCCCACAAATAATATTGTTAAAACGTTTTGCAAGTTATATATATTAAGTCCTTAATTGTTTGTAGTAAGAAATAATAATAAATAATAATACTTGTAAAGAAATAAAAAATAATAATTAAACTTAAATATAGAATAGGCCACCCCTTCCTTTCCCATGGCTGTTGAAAGAGGCAACTAAGGAAACTTAATGGTCGAGGGATTAGTATCAGTATCCCTCTTAAAACATCTCTAAAAGCCTAATTGCGGTTGCCAACCACTACTGGCAAAACTCCTCTTATGGGAAAACCTTATTTTTACCAGTTGACAGTCAATGGCTGAAATGATGATGAAATTTGAAAACGCTACAATTTCGAATTAAATACAAATTAACAAAATGTTCATTCTCTAAATTACGATTATTATTAATCGATCAAAAATAATACAACTAAATTAAAAATATTTAAAAAGAAATAACTTACCAAATAATAAAGTGAATACTATAATTAAAATAATATCACACTTTTTTGCGACAGTTTTCGAAATTTTAATTTCCGCTAATGACAACTCGATTCTTGCGATATTTTTCATAATAACACACCAGTTTCTGCCTAGTTTCATTATTATAAAAGCTGTCATTAAATTCGTCGCGCTAAATAGGAATAAAGCTAAAAAAAATACTTTACTTTCAGATTAATTTTTTTTTATGTGAAATATTTGAAAACCTACTTGCGCCTTATCAGATGGTGAGAGATCCCTACAGTCCATAGACACTAACTACATCAGAGGAATTGTCTATACATTAGTGATCTTCTATAAAGATACATATTCTTTTTTTTAATATATTTAGGTTTTATATGTTTGAATACTCGTACCCCGATTTTATAATCACAATTTTATTATTATTTTATACATTAGTACATTTATGTCACAGACAATTAACATACGACCCATTTGATATTAAACAGTTACCGTCGTCAATAGAAACATGTAACGCAGTGGTATCATATGTCCGTTGCCGGTTCTGAAGAAACTTTAGTAAAAATAAAAATGGAGCCTTGAATTCCGTACAACTGTGCTTCTACCGAGAATTACATTGCCATGTAAATTTTGTAAAAAAAAAAAGAATTATTACGCAATAAAAATAATAAATTAAAAAACATTTCAAAATATCGTACTTTACGAAAGATGGCCTTATCACTTAAAATAGCAATCTCTATCAGATATGATAGAAAGTGGTTATAGACTAAAAAATAGGTAGACTACGCACGATTGATACAAATAATTTAATATACATACATACGTACAAGTGTAAACACAAAACACATACCAGAAGGAGACTTTGTACAAATATTTGTTGCTTAAGTACCTTTGTCCAATTCATGTTTCTATCGTGAAGCAGTTGTGTTTGCATGGCTGTGTTTTGGTTTGGAGGGCAGTGAATTTACAGGGTACAAAGGAACAACACCTGAGTCCTCAGGAATAGCAACGCATGGGGGGTATCACGGGCGAAACAGTATACTCTGTTATATCCATGGTACTGTTCACGTCTATAGGCGATGGTTACCACTTTCCATCAGGTGTGCCGTCAGCTTATTTGCCATTCTAAGTCGCATAAAAAACATACATACAAATGCATACACGTACATAATATACATTATACACATTCTTAAAGATGAATTAATATATTTGGATCTCTATATTAGAATTATCATTTGGTTTTTGATCTCCGGCGAATAGGGGGGTGTTCGGTGGCTCAAAAACTCACGGACAACAAGAGAGGTGTGGGCAGGGGCATTGTCAATTTTTAGAGACTGAGCACATCGACGTAGAATTTTCCATCAACTGTCTGGCCTGGAGGGACGAATTCTTGATGGACAAGAACATCGAAAAAAACAATCAACATTGTCTTGACAAATATACATACACAAAGACGCGCTGCTCTTCCGAAGATGCCGACGGGGTTTCGTTTCTTATTTATATGGATGTTAGGGACATAAGAAATGCCTCCCCACTCCTCTTTCTCGCATTCCAGACACTTTTATACGAACTTTCCGGACAGAGTAATTCTTAAAGATAAATTAAAATATTTGCATCACTATATTAGAATTATCATTTGATCTGTGCTACTACAATTTTTAGAGACTGCAACACGATATGTAAAAGTTAAATTACAATATTTAATTACAAATATACATACACAAAGACCGAAGATTCTTATTTATATGGATGAGCATAAGAAATGTGGACATTGTGGTAATGATTTGTCCCAGATACGTTAGTAAAAAATATAAGAAGTAACCAGATTTTAAATTGAATCTGTAACAAAAAATATTATATAATTAACTGTCATTTCCGACAATTGTTCATACAACGACGAAATTGTATCTCGCAACGTCGTTATCACTATAATATTATTATAAACTATTTATTATATTAAAACTAATATATAAATATATATTTATACTTTATGACTTTTTAAGAGTGCAGTAACTTTAGTGAATGATTTATATTTCATGAATTTTTTTTAAGGTGTGCCCTTAAAAACTTTAGTAGATGACAATTAATTAATAAACTACTAACAATAATAATGTTATTTGCCGTGTGATCCCGGCGTAGAATAGGCCACCCCTTTCCTGTGGCTGTTGTAAAAGGCGACTAAAGGGACTCAGTGATCGAAGAATGGGGGGGGGTAGTGTCTCTCATCACCAAATACTAACTGCGGTTGCTAATCCGCCTACCAAGTGTAGCAACTACTGGAAAACCGCCTATAGGCGGAGGCCTAGTTTAACAGTGGACAGTTAACGGCTAATATGATGGTGATGATGATGAAAACGGTATAAAATGTGTGTTTTTGTGTGTTAAAAGAAGGAAACTAGAACAGTGAAATACAGCCGAAAGAGAACAATAGTAGAATGTATCAATTTTGAATTTGGTAAACAATAATATAAAACTATAAACAAATTAAGCTGCCTGAGCTCCACATCTATGTTGTAACCGAACTCAATAATTTTAAAAGTACCTCAGTTTTGTGAAAGAAGATTGATCTAATCCTTCAATTGGAAAAAACCCCATCCATCTACAAAGACGCATGGCTCGCCGGAGGCAGTTATGCATCTCGCATTTTGATAATTTTTTTTGAAATCGTGACTTGCTGTGTTTGTAAGAACTGAAAATAAAATGAAATATAAGAAAAAAATTAAAGGAAGAGATGTAAACTTGATACATCCATTCCATAATTTTTTTTTAATTTTTCAATTAAAATGGTATACGTTAGTCTACTTGAGGAAAAGGGGCAATCGTCGCCTATGCAAATGAACCATGAATCACGGACTTCACAGCATATACTATTACGGTAGTAATAATCATGCATTGCTGTTATAAATAATAACGTAAACCTTATTGATTGGTAAAAGAATTATCAAAATCGGTCTACAATTGTACACACAAAAATATTGCATAACATACACACAACATATAAATATGAGCGAATCGAAAACCTCCTTCTTTAAAAAATGGCTCAAAAAGTGTTTATTTTTCATTTAAATTCATTGTTAACTTTACCGTTTCATATTTAATTTTATTACATAGTTGTTTCCCAAAGGATTCATATTATTATAATATTACTAAAAATATATTCAAAGACTGAAATTCAAGATTTACTTAGAGAAACGGTCGCTATTTGGATTGGATTGTTTGTAATAATCAAATGAAATATAATTTTCATATCGAGCAGCCATTATGAATAACATGGGTTATTCTAGTAACCAATATTTTATATATAATTAAAATAAACTCATAACTTCAAAATTAAAGAATACCACTGTTTAGATATTCATATATACTATACTGGCGATTTCTTATCAAGATTATTTATAAGTATTTTTTTTTTTTATACAATTTAGAATGACAATCAAGCTGACGGCCCACCTGATGGAAAGTGGTAACCGTCGCCTATAGACATGAGCAGTACCATGGACATAACAGAGTATACTGTTTCGCCCATGATATCCCCTATGCGTTGCCATTCCTGAGGACTCAGGTGTTATTCCTCTGTACCCAGTAAATTCACGCCATATCCCACCCTTCAAACCGTACACAGCCATGCAAACACAACTGCTTCACGGTAGAAACACGAATGGGACAGAGGTACCCAAGCAATCGACTTTTGTACAAAGTCTCCCTTTGGTAAACACACTAATGTCTCAACTATATTATAAGTAGGTACCGATGCGTATTTTAATGGGACAGAGATACCCAAACGGACGATTTGTGTACATAGTCTCCTTCTGAAAATAGTTTTCTAATAGTATATAGTACTAGACTATATAGGTAAGATTAATACCAATCCAATATCTGTATATGGAGTTCCTCTGGATATTGATTGCAGAGAAAAGGTCACCACTAATTTCGATATTGTTTATATCGATCGAATATCTATTTTCCAGAAAAGGTCATCATTAATTTCGATATCGTCTATATCGATCGAATATCTATTTTCCAGAAAAGGTGACCACTAATTTCGATATCGTCTATATCGATCGAATATCTATTTTCCAGAAAAGGTCATCACTAATTTCGATATCGCCTTTATCGAGCAAATATCGATTTTCGAATATATTAAAAGTCTGTTATCCAATATTATTCTTTGGATAACAGACTTTTAACATATTCGTTATTGGAGCAGTATATAGATGTTGTAACTAAAATATATAAATATTGCTATATATTGAACGCCCTTACATAGATTGTACCTTTATCTTGAATGCTGTTTTAAACAATAAAATATAAATCACAAATTATTGTCCTAATTATCTTGTTTCAGAATGATCCTGCGAGTCCTAATTTAGTACAATTGTCATATATGATTCTACAATGACAGAAAAAGAGACATGTAAATTTAACGATATATTCAAGCATTTAAGCGTTATTTACTACAATTAATCAAAATTATTTTTTTCTCATTTTTCAAAAGGCTGTTCATAAATCATATTTGTTGTTGTATATATTTTATATTCACTTATAATTTACCACTTGCATCTCTCTATAGTAACGATTCCCTACATACTTTTTATTTCAATAGTTTGTTATAAAACGCACTCGTATTGATCAATATTTTTTTTATGAAACTTAGGATGGCAAACAAGCTGATGGCCCACCTGATGTAAATTGGTAACCGTCGCCTATAGACATGAGCAGTGCCATGGACATAACAGAGTAACTGTTTCGCCCATGAAACCCCCCATGCGTTGCTATTCCTGAGCACTCAGGTGTTATTCCTCTGTACCCTGTAAATTCACTGCCATATTCCACCCTTCAAACTGAAACACAGCCATGCAAACACAATTGCTTCACAGTAGAAAGACGAATGAGACAGAGGACATCAATGACATAAGTATTTTCGTTAATTAATAATAATTGCCTTAATCTTATGTCATCCTCTAAGCAGTTACCATAGACTGTGAACGCCTGCAATACCATGGGGCATTACATGCTCGTTGCCGATACTGAAAAACCTCTTTATCCTTTTTTTGAAGAACCCCATGCTGTAGTCTGTTGGAAATATGTATGCGTGGATTTAGGTAACATACACCAGATTTTAAGTTAGATCTTAAAACCCAACTGTGAAAACCGCATTTAATTTACTGCAGTGGATTTGCGAAATGCGGATAAGAAATATAGATTGACAAACGTTAATTCTAAAAATTTAATATACATTTCTGTGCCTCTTATAAAGAGCCCTTGTATATTTTTTTCTTAAATGTCTTCAATGTGCAGATTTTTGGTTATAATTTTATTATACTAGCAAGACATCCACGTAGAGACCACGTAGAGACAAACAAAATAATTATTTGTTTAATTACGCTCGCTAAAAGTAGATATTAAGTGCATGTTTATAGTTTTAAATTTCTCGTTTAAGTGATTTATGTATAAATCTTTAGAGAAATAAATATCTTAAACCGTTATACAGTTTAAAAAAAAGAACACAATAGTGACAACCCTAAATACCACCTGAGTAAAGATTAAACATAATGTCAGAATATAAAAATATCCTCCCTCCTAATAAAGCAACAAACAAAATAATATATCATAATAACAAATCATGTGTCAATAGAGATTCACATCTTTTGTGGCACCGAATAAATAGATGTTAGATTATGTTGACCATTGATACTAACATGTCGAATACACATAAAAACTCATTGGGAAAATCCAACAATAACGGAGAGTTTTACGAATGCATAAAATGGGTGTTGGTGTCGTGTAGGTGCTTAGGTCTATGGCCTGTTAGCGGGATGTTGAGCAAAAATAGAAAGTGAGTAAAAGTTGAATTATTTTATACAGTATTGGTTACAATTACCATATGGCAACTTTGTATAAAAGTCATAATATATTATAATATACTACATTATATATGAATATAGTAATAACACAGATAATATAAAAGGAATAATAATATAGTAGTAATAATAATAATAGTAACATATACATATAGTCATAACTGAGTATCACTCGTGTTATTATCATGAAGCAGACATATAAGGGTGCCATCAACAAGTGTTGTTATGCTTAAGGGCAAACGCAATGTAGAATGACCCCACACTAGATGGAGAGACGACCTCAAATCCATTACAGGAAGTCAGTGGATGCAGTTGTCTCAGGGCCACTTCTTATGGCAATCTATGGGGGAGGCCTATGTTCAGCAGTGGACAGATAATGGCTGAGATGATTATGATCCATATAGCTGCTTCATAGAAATTTCCATTACCACTTTTTGTTGTGTGAGCCATAGTTTCCCATTCTATGTAACATAAAAAAATAAATCAAGCATAAAAGCAATATATCCAATCTCCAAGCTCCATCCAAAGGTTGGCTGGAAGAGATCGCTCTTAGCGATAAGGTCGCCCATTGTTTTCTCATTGTGATTATTTCTTGTAATTATTTATATTTCTAATAAGTTTACTATTGTAATCTTTTGGAGGAAACAATAAAGAGTATCTATCTATCTATCTATCTATATTACCGTAGTATACTTTTATACAATAATTTTATCAGTATGAATATACAGCTTCAGTTTCAAATGGACGTCACCTTATTTCTTGTTCATCTACACACCGACTGTATTTCTGCAATTTGTGATAGCAAGCTTCACACTTTTTGACTTCATCGCTAACGGCGCAGCTCTTAATAAGCTACGTAAGTCATAATTACTAATTATTATTATTAAATAATTAAATTTTATTATTATAATTAATTCAGAATAATTGTTAAATATAATTAATTATTAATTCAAGTTAATTTAAGGGTAAAATTAATAGCTAATTTTAAATCAATATTAATTGGAATTAATGAATGATTTGACATTTATTAAAAATTATTGGGTTTAAAAATTAATCAGATAATTATGCGTTAATTAGCATCTACTCGCTTCCAACAAACATTCTTTTCACCGTATCACCAAATATTGGGTTTGCTTTATTTCATTAAAATCAGTTGAGCTGCTTTGGAGAGTAGCGTCCCTTAGTTTTTATGTTATAACAATTGATTTATTATTGGTTATTTGATTAGAATTATTTTGCTTAATTTCGCTACCATTAGTATGTATGTACCGATATGAACGATTAACACTAGGCTCCGAACAGCGATCTAATAATTTGCCTGAAGGCCCCTTGTTTAGAGATGAATCACGTGTTGCAAAAGGTGCTTAGACAAAATGGCAGTCGGAGATTGATAACTAATGTGGAAGGTTGTGAAACTTCTGGTAGTAATAGTGGTGGCCAATCTTTGAGTGTTGGCAGTCACGTACAAACTATCATAATAGTAGCAGAATTAAACAAAATAATTGTAAACAAATAACCAGTGATATGAACTTCCGCAAGATATTACCTAGTTAACGACACTTTCAATAATTTCGTTTTAGCTTAGATTAACATATATAGACAAAGTGTCTTCATATAAATGTTTCACGAAATGTTGGACGAACAATGTTCGACCAACTTTTATTCATTTGTGCATGAATAGGGTTACCATAATATAAATTTACTACATAGTATATGGGAGAAATTAATTGTAAGATTACGTTAAAAAATAAAAATAATACAAAATTGTTAAGAGTA